GTACCTTAGTTCGAATTAGGGGGGGTAGTGTAGACCAAGCCTCAGTGTCACCTTCTCGGGTCAGACTGACTGTGCCTACTTGTCATTGGAGATCACACAGCAAGTGGCATTTAGAATAATAAGAGTAGGATTGGAAGAGGCCTTAGGTGGTCATCTAGTTCAACTCCCTGCTCATAGCAGGACCATCTCCAATTAAATCATCCCAGCCAGGGCTTTGTCAAGCTAGCCCTTTAAAACGTTTAAGGATGGAGATTCCACCACCTCCTTAGGTAACCTATTCCAGTGCTTCACCACCCTCCTAGTGAATTAGGGTTTCCTAATATCCAACCTAGACCTCCCACACTGCAACTTGAGACCATTGTTTCTCTTTGGTCATCTGCCACCACTGAGAATAGCCTAGTGCCATCCTCTTTGGAACCCCCCTTTCAGGTAGGGGGAAGGCTGCTATCAAATCTCCCCCCCCCCCCCACCTCTTCTCTTCTGCAGACTAAATAAGCCTAGTTCCCTCAGCCTCACCTCATTAGTCATGTGCCCCCTAATCATTTTCATTGCCCTCCACTGGACTCTCCCATTTGTTCACATCCTTTCTGTAGTGGCCCCTTCCCCCCCAAAAAAACTGGATGCAATACTCCAGATGTGGCCTCACCAGTGCTGAATAGAGAGGAATAATCACTTCCCTCGATCTGCTGGCAATGCTCCTACTAATGCAGCCCAATAGGCTGTTAGCCTTCTTGGCAAGAAATGCACACTGTTGATTCATATCCAGCTTCTCATCCAATGTAACCCCAGGTCCTTTTCTGTAGGAACTGCCACTTAGCCAGTCAGTCCCCAGCCTGTAGCAGTACATGGGATTCTTTCATCCTAAGTGCAGGACTCCGCACTTGTCCTTTTAGCCCAATCCTTCAATTTTTCTAGATCACTACCCTCCAGCCTACCTCCCTCTTCTCTCCCCCCCCTCCACTTAGTGTCATCCATGAACTTGCTGAGGGTGCAAGCCATCCCATCATCCAGATAATTAATGAAGATACTGAACAAAACCAACCCCAGGACCAACCAATGGGGCATAGGTGCCAACTCTGTGGGTGCTCCAGGGTTGGAGCACCCATGGGGAAAAATAAGTGGGTGCTCTGCACCCAAGCACCTCTCAACCCCTGTCCCACCTCCTCCTCCCCTTAGCACGCTGCATCCCTGCTTCTCCGCCTACCTCCCAGTGCTTCCCGCCTGGCTGCCACCAAACAGCTGTTTGGCAGCATTAGCATGCTTTGGAAGGGAGGGGGAGGAGCAGGAACGTGGCATGCTCAGGGGAGGAGGCAGGGAAGGGGCTGGGATTTGGGGAAAGGAGGTGGAATAGGGGCAGGGAGGGGGCTGAGCACCCATGGGAAAGGGGAAGTCTGTGCCTATGCCCTGGGGCATACTGCTGGATACCAGCTGCCAACTAGACATTGATCACCACGTGCTGAGCTTGACAATTTAGCCAGCTTTCTATCCACCTTATATAGTCCATTCATCCAATACATACTTGGACTTGCTGTGAAGAATACTGTGGGAGACTGTATCAAAAGCTTTGCTAAAGTCAAGGTGTATCATGTCCACTACTTTCCCCATATCCACAGAGCCAGTTCTCAAAGAAGACAATCAAGTTGGCCAGGCATGACTTGCACTTGGTGAATCCATGTTTGCTGTTCCTGATCACCTTCCTCTTCTCCAAGTGCTTCAAAATGGATTCCTTGAGGACCTGCTCCATGATTTTTCCCAGGGACCAAGGTGAGGCTCACCAATGTTAGCATTTGTCCAAGAGTGAGGGTTTTACATTGTGTCTGATCGGTCAGCTGTATAGGGGGTCCTTCACGTCACAATGCAAGATTTTGCCCCATGCCCTATTAGGGATCAGGTGCATTGCACCACACTCAGGAAAGGGGAGGTCAGTGACTGCAGGTAATCAATACCTGTAGTCCACCAAAGGACTTGGGAGATGTTCAGGAGAGGCTGTAGAAAATTGATGGATCAGATCTGGCCTCCCACTTCCACTGTGGAAGGGCTGACCATCACTTCCTTGCTAGTCAATAGAGCAGGCCAACTTACATGAAGGTGCTGTCCCGGGTGATGGAGCCATCTGGCCCAGTCTGGATGTTGATGCCAGAGATCAGCTGGTTCTCATAGATCAGTTTGTCATGGATCACCTGGAAGAGTTGAGACATGGGGCGGGTTAGTGCCCCAAGACCCTGAGCAGAGCACTCATCCTTCCAGTGGGTGTGTTCTCACCTGGATTGTGGTGCCGCACTGCATGAGGGGGAAGCGGAAGATCACAAAAGCCTCTGTCATCCTGATGGGGTCACACCCTGTTTGGGCATAAGCTAGCCGGACACTGTCCAGGATGATGGGGTGATCAGACATGTCCCTGGAGACCACCAGAACAAAGTGACCATCCACGAGGCACTGAACAGTGACTGCAACACAAAGGAGCAGGATTAAGTATAGATGCTCCTGGTATAGGAGTTAGGCAAGAGGTCCATGCCACACTAACCTATAATAAAAATGATAGGTTGGAGAGGGTTTGGAGAAGAGCCATGAGAAATAGAGAACATGCCTTGTAGTGACCAAATTCTGTTGCTTTAGACTGAAAGAAGGTTAAGGGGTGACTTGATTACAGTCCAAGTATCTACACAGGGAACAAATATTTAATTAAGGTGTAGTTTTGACAGTGAGGGTAGTTAACCATTACAATGGTTTGCTCAGGGTCAGTGATGGAGAATCCAAAACAGGATGTTTGCTAACAGATCTGCTCTAGGAATTTTCAGGGAAGTTCTATAGCTTGTGTTATACAGGAAGTCAGACTAATCATCAGTGGTCCCTTCTGGCTTTGGAATCTATCAAATGAAACCTCATGGGGGTAAGTGGGTTTGTCTGACACAGCATGGTTGCAGCTCATGTTGTGCAGGAATGAGACAAGCTGACAGTTATCCATTGATCTGATGGTGGAGCACCAGCCTGTACTGTCTGATGGTTCTTCCTCTGCCATTTGGTGTTTGCTCTCAAGATCTGCCAGGCATTGGGCAACTGAGGAGAGAGACTGTCATGTAGGAAGGAATCCCTTTGCACACAACTAGTGCCAACTGCAGCCCAGAGTAAGAGATACAAAGAAGTTGTATTCAAGTCTAGTTCAGCATGCTAGTAGGTGGTGACCAAACTCATCTGAGAAGGATGGTGTCTCACCAAGCTTCCCAGGATAGAGATGGCAAAAGGCTCCATAAGCTGACATGAGGGCATGTCTCCTACCTGTGTTGCCATAGTAGCAGGGAGTAGTAGGGTCAGTCTCATCATAACAGCAGCCAGCCTGGAAGCAAGCAGCTCGGCCTGGGGCATCTGCACAGGGGATCTTCCCAGCCACCACACGGCACTGCTCCTGTGTGAGATGGGCACCTAGAACAGCAGGGTGTGGATTAAGGAGAGCTGGAGATCTTCTGAAGGGATCACAAGAGACCCTTCCCCAGAGACTTTTGAAAATCTGTAGCAACCTCTGGACAACTGGCTGACCTCAACACCAGTCCAACCCTCCTCCCCAAAGGGCTGCAAGAGCTCCCACAGTGGTCCTCCATCCCAGCTCACCCTACACCCCCCCTCCTCCATAGCCTCAAACCACATACCATCTCAGACAGCATTGTGCTCAGAGCCCCACCCCAGGCCTCCAGATGTAGCATGTTGCCCTTCTTAGCATTAAGCCAGATACCAGCCTTAAAATGTCACATGGAAATCCAGGCTCCTGAACTGCTGCATCAGAGGAGAGCCCCCACTCCCACCCCACATCCCCCTCAACACAGCCAGTGTTGTCAACTCCAACTTATCAGTTAGCAGTTCAGGAATGGGTTTTTCTATCCCTCATGAAATGGTGAGCAGACTCCTACTCTATTAAAGGAAAAATTCATAAAGTCACCACCTCCCATTACTGCTAATGGGGTAGAAGCTAGCAGGATAGGCTCTGGGGAAATGGTGGCTATCAGAGGAAGTGCCCCTCAAACGTGGCTGCTAATTTTCACTTTCTTCAATGAGACCAAAGCTGTACCTACAGGTAAAGTGGCTGCCACTCTGGTTTAGGGGGAGGGCTAGACAGAACACTATTAGTGCAGAGGGACTATGAGCTGTGGAGAGCCTGTGCGAGATGCCTGGGAAGAATGAGGGGAGCAGGAGACCAATTGCAAGTGACTTCTGGGGCAGGTTGATCTGGGTGGACCCAAGGCTGTGGGTCATAGAATCACAGACTATTAGGGTTGGAGGGGACCTCAGGAGATCTAGTCCAACCCTCTGCTCAAAGCAGGACCAATCCCCAACTAAATCATCCCAGCCAGGGCTTTGCTGTTATGGTCTGAACCAATACAATAACATCAGATCCAAAACCCTGGGATACTGGAGGAACAGGGGAGACCCCTCTGAGCAGCCAATCATAAGGACACATTGGTGCATGTGATTGGATTTTGCCCCAAAGAAACTCACTTTGGAAGCAGCTTTGAAATACCAAAAGGCAAATAGCCACCCCTCCTCCCCCGAGTTTATTTGAAGGAACTGGATTTCTAAATTAATCTCATTTTTGAGATGGATTACAACACTGTCAACCCCAGCTCTAAGAAGGCAGCCACAAGCAAAAGACAAGGTGTAGCTCCCCTGAAGACTAACACAGGGGTCAGAAGTAGAGCATGAAACCTTCCATTAGAGGGGACCCACATGCACTCAAACCAGTTAGAGGTCACACACCTATGCTGCTTGGTGGAGGATAGATGTGGGGCACCGGG